CATGTGAGTGTTTTTATGAAAATGGACAAAATCGAGTATCGAGCTGTCATTAAATATTTGTTTTTGAAAGGCAATACGCCTACGCAAATCAAAGCCAGGGAAGTAGTTGTTTTTTGATAGGTGTCAGTCCAATAACCTACAGTCTAGGGAGTTGAGACTGTTCTTTTAGATGATTTGATTTATAGCCAATCTTCAAGTATGCCCACTGACTATATGTGAGAAGCGTTCTTTCCTTATACGAGAAAATTGGGCAAATTTCGGATATGCAGTTGGTTACCTCGTTCACAGGCAGATGGAGCGATGTCAAATCTGTTGTTTGTTGTCCGCTTCAGCCTAGTTCGAGGAATGATACTCTGGAAGGAATTCAATTTTTAATTATAGGAAATCATCGACTTTATGTTGATGATAGACACTACCTTGCACTGACGAGTGGCCAAACAGCCCGAAACCGGCCTGCTGCAAACGTGTTCCAATAATTGAAAATCTATTGCGGCAGTTGTATCACCAGTAATAACTTCAGTGAAGAATCCTGCACTGACACCTGTCGGATATAATCCAACGTCCTTCGTGGTATTAGCCAGGGAAGTAGTTGTTTTCTGATAGGTGTCAGTCCATTAACCTACTCGTATTAAAAAATGAAGAACTCAACAACCACAATCGAACCTCTCAATAAGACGTAGGTATATAAAAATCAGCGTGATATATTATTAGGTCAGTAAATACTTGATTAGAGTAGAAATTGATTTTTTTTATTATTTACAATAAACACGACAATAATTACCATTAATGAATTTTGATGAATCGATCGATCAAATTAAAAACTGTTTATAGAAGGTAAAAAATTATCAAAACAATCATTAGCGAAACTATTAGCATTAGAAGGGTAGGAAGAACTTACCAACAACATGTTAAACGTCAATCGGAATTAAACATTTCGCGTTGGAAACAACACTCAGATNCGAAACTATTAGCATTAGAAGGATAGGAAGAACTTACCAACAACATGTTAAACGTCAATCGGAATTAAACATTTCGCGTTGGAAACAACACTCAGATGAACTTTGCAACAGTTATCTTGAGAAAAGTCCCTGACATAGAAGTTCCTTGTCAACGACCTACTGGGGCAAGTGCAAGATTTTGCCTCAAAATGTTCTGATAACTCTCTTTTATCAATGATTATTTACAACTTGTCTATCGTATCAATTGAGTCGATTTAGGGTCGAGGGTCATAAGAACGACTTCTTACTTGAGGTTAAATAAACTATGCGATTTTTGTTTTGACGATATGATAACTCAGCGTTATAATACTACTATGCCTATCCAATAAGACAATGACAATGGTTATTAAAAGTTCATATCATATGAATATTACTCGACACGTATTTCGAGAACCAAGTGATCATCTTTGAGAGTTTTAGTATGAAAACAGTTTCAGACTTCTGGCAAAATCTAACAGGATTAATTTATTCCAAGGCACCTGTACATCCTTCGAAATATGTTACTGATAAATCGTTAGACTACAGCAGAAATGACCTGAATTCTCTAACAGACCTTTTTACAAGTCCCTGTCGTCTGAATCATCATATGGACCCGGAGTCATGGAGTCATCTTCCAGAGGCGGCACGCACGTCTCTATTTAGAAGATGAAGAAACACCAGAGCACATACTTTGTGGTTGATTCGTTGCGGGCCGAATCGGGTTTTCAGAGTTTGGCAGAGTTTCACTCTTGCTATTTGACCTAAAAAATCATTCACCAAATAAGCTACTCAGCTTTGTCAACAAGTGGAACCTATTTGACCAAGTTAGAGTAGGTGCAAGTCACAAAAAACCTTTATTTTGGTTGGTACTGTGGTTTGATTAATCGAATAAAAATATTTTTTAAACAGTCCTTTGGTAGGTTTGCTCATCAAGAGCGTAACGATGAGCCATATCTCCCTCTTTCTCTTATGGTCGTTCTTGTGGAGCAAATTGTAGGTGGAAGAATGAAAGCTCCCATGAAGATACGTATGAAAGAGGGAAATATCTCCCACTTTTCTGTGAAGCCTTAGTTGTTGTCAAGGAGGAGTCACCAATCAAATGAATTGCTCTACTTTGTATCGAGTGGAGAAATTTAATACATGCGAGCAAAATTGATTGAATTTGTACAAGTCATTTGGGTATTAAAATAATTTTTGGCACAGAAAAGAAACCCGAGTTTATGAACTATGAACTGTTGTTTTGTTGATACTCTCGGTACGAACCTCAGAGACTCCAAGACAATGTATAATTATCCAAAAAGGAATAAATATACTGCATTTCAGTAACTTTTTCACCAAGGACTTGACGGAGGTCAAATTAAAGACCAGTCAGGGAGTTGAAGCGTTAGTGGTGGGGTTAGCTGTCTTTGTTTATTTTGCCTCACTTGTTAAGCTAAGGTTGCTGCTTTTTCATATGTCTTAGCTTCGGTAAATAATTTGTGAGTAAATTCAGCTATTGGATGTCCATTTCTTCGTAGCATTGCTGGGTATGGAAAAAACAGGATCACTTGTGCTGCTGTTATTTCAACAATGTCGAAGGCTTTCAAGTGTCTGTATCCGTACCGGAAAATTGTACGACTCTGAGTCCATCAGAGTTAATAACGAAAGCCTAGAGATAACAGGCGCCCTCGCGGCAATGCTAAGATGGACCTACATTCCCTAGCTACTTGTGGGACCCTTTGTGGACCTTGAAGCAACCAAACAATCCTACCCCTAATCCAACTCCTTTCATATTTCTGTTAAAGCAGGATATCTTATGAATCTGTCTTGCATTGAATTCTTAAGCAGCAGAAGCAGAATCTGTATCAGAAGAAGAAATAAACTACTCTTGCGCAGGAAATCAAAAGCTAATACTCAAATGATGATTCAACCAAACCAAAGTCAAAAAAGCAGAATCTAATAAATCGTCAGGTATAGCTGAGTTACAGACGCCCTGGTATAGGAAGGTTTCAGTAGTCACTGAGGTGAGAATCCTGCATATCGACCAATCAATTGGAATTTTTTCAGTATGCTATTATGGTTACCGTAGAGCAGAAAATGGTCCACTGATAAATTTCTAGAATTGCACCCGTCGGCATGGATGACTTCAGGTTACCTAAGAGGATTAGGAGCGTCTCCTGGCTGGTGGAGACCCTCTCCAATTATGGGAGGAGACCCTTCTAAAGTGAGCCATAGAAGCATTTAGCTTCCTGTCGAAAATAGTCGCAGTTATTATCATTTCTAAATACACTCTTGTTGAAATGTAAAAGACAAGTTATATATCTTGTGCCTTTTGCCTGTCCGAAATGTTTTCTAAACTGTTGCTTATGTTATTATTTAAGGTTCGCCACATTTTTGGAATGTGGCACAGAAAAACATGTATTATTATTACATTGGTATTTGATGTATTTATCAGTAAACTTTGATCGACAGTTAAAAATTTATATATTTCTTGGTTAAATCATGCTTTGAAGAAGGTATTTCATATTGTACCTTATTCAATAGTATAGCAACAATCCAGTTTATTGATGTTGCCAAAAGAAATTCAAAAATGTTTTTTGGGAAGCAATTAAACACTGCTCATAAAAATTGTTCCGACTCTGGACATCTTCAATAATGTAAGGAACGCTTTCGAAAGTAGGCTGTATTATTGTATGGAACTAGAAACTAGATGGAGCTCACTTTGAACACTTTATCCGTTAATTGTGTTGCCATTGATATTATTTTTGTTGATTTCCTCAATAAAATAAGCGAAAGCGAATTTTCTGTTATTTCTTAAATAAAACGTTCAACATTTAATTTTTCAATAACGAATAAACCAATTTCGAAAAAAATTACAGAAGTTATTGAGGGAGAAAGGATATTTCCAATAATGTATCACTCGACCCCCCATGCCACTAAAAAAATAGGGGGGGGGTGTAGTTGCTGACCGCAGGGGGGTGAAGTTTCGGGTATGATTTACATATCAGAATTAGTCCCCCTAGAAATGAAAATTGACGTGTACTTTGAAATTTTCTATTACACGTCCGTTTCTTACTTACAGGTGGGGGACAAGTTTTCGTTGGTCATTCAATTTCACTATTTGTATTTATTGTTGAATACTATATTCGCCCATGGTGATTTGGCAAAACAGACTGAATAAATGACAACTAATTTGACAGATGTAGCTTCAACAAGATGGTCGTTATCAATCTTCAAAGTTCGGAAGTCCCTCTTGAAAGACCCTAAATATGCGTCAATCGATGCATACTTTCATTATGTTGAGTAGCCAGAATGGGGAATGTTCCTTACTGATTTCGAACCGTAAGTTGAAGAAGGCAAGGAAAATCACTTTTTTATTTATAAATTCTCTAAAACAATCTTTCATCACAAAAAAATCTGTTTCATTTAAGCAGCCATTGGTGCATAGATTAAATAGGTAATAAGTGGCTAAATTATTGAAATCAATGAACAAATTCAGCTTCTTAACGAAGATGATTAGTTTTTTTGGTGAGTGACCTTTCAGATCAGCTGGGGCAGGTGGGAAGTATCTGCTCTGCTTGATAGGTAAAATTATAACCTTGGGTGTGAAATTAATCCATTGAAAATCCACATGTCATCAAAAAAGTATGCGATAAAACACATACTTTTATAATATAAGTGAAAAAAAAGGTAAAACAGTTGATGGTTGATGACATATTCCATCATTTGTCAGTTTACATTGTTCATGTTTTTTTTTGAAGAATTTCTAAGGTTTCCATTCTGTTATATAATACACAAATAGTTGTTTTCACAATAATTGATGATCACTGGGCTAACTCATGAATTAAACTCAACTTTATTTTGTTCAAACTTGCATTTGCTGTAATAACCCAAATTGAGGAACATTCCCAATGTAAATTAATTAATTAACGGGGAAAGTACCCCCTTCTATATTTCGAAATGGCATTTCATATTCACAAATATATTGTGTCAAATTGAATATTATTGAAACATATTGACGAGATGTAAAAAAAATTGAGTGCGCTATTTATAAAAATCGTTTATTTTATATATATCCTTCTGAGCATTTAGAATCCACATACAGAAATATACAAATTTGAATATTTTATCAAATAATGAAATAATTGAATCTCAAGTGGTGATGGGGAAGACAATTACACGTTGAAAATAACGTCGGTTTGAAATAAAAACAGTAGTAATAAATATAGTGAGAATTAATTGCTTCAACTTAAATGTTATAAAATCAATCTATACAGCAAGGTACTTTTATACAAAAAATTTCAATTCGATTAACTTAGTTGAATAACACCGAGTTTGGATCCTCATTATCCATTTGCTTTATATGTCTCAGCACATCCTTTTTCGTTATTACACCAAGCAGTCGCCTGAAACAAAAATAAAAATGATGAAAAGTAGTATAAAAAAATCATAAATCATATAAATGATATACCAATATATCAACCATAAAAATTTGATAAAATGATTAGTATTCTTCATTGATGTAATACAAGGAGACAAAGTTTAGCTCTAAAATATTGATATTACTATACTCAGTTTGAATTATGTTCAAATTAAGGTTTGTATGATCGATACATCATATATTCATTATAATAAAAATAATATANTAATGCTTCTACGTCATCCACAGTCATCGTGTCCTGTGTAATAACGCTTAATGTTTCGTTACGTCTGCAAAAAATGTGAACTGTTGAAATCAAAGCCTCCCATGTTGTAGTATATTGGCGTAGAATGATTATAGATTATTATTGCTGGTTCCCACATAACATTATTTCTATAAATGAACACCTCTGTTTTCTTTTGTGGTTCGATCATAATAAAAATCATTTTTAAGTGATATTTTATCAGCAATGGACAATTTTGTTCTCGTTCTTCTACTGAATAATAACTAACTTTGAGAAAAATCAGTTCCGAGTAGAGGTGAATTGCGATATTAAACAACCACCATCTTCACCATTTGCAAAAATATCCTGTGATATTCTTGAATTAATGAATCAACCATATTTAGTACTTGTATTGAAATTTCAAAATCTTAGTAAGGAGTGGAAATTTCATATTATTACTTCAAATCCATACTATCCACAAAGCAATGGTTTAGCTGGAAGAGGTGTACATATTTGTAAAAATATATTTAAAAAATCAGGAGCAAGTAAAACTGACTAAAAAAAATTACCTATTGTTTATGAACTTTTAGAATCACATATTGTAGCAAATCACTCAGAAAAATCATTTGACAATTGATTTCATTATGATGGAACCAGAAGAGAAAACAAAAACACATTTTTGTTTCTCTGTTGTATACAACAGAGGTAAATATATATTTCATAGAAATAATGGTATACGGGAAACAGCAATAATAATAATTAATAATCATTCTGCACCTTGGTCTGTTTGGATTGAGGATGGAAATGGATGTATCAAACTTAGAAATAATCAGAAAATCAAATTGTTCACATTGGATATATTTTGACGGCGAGAATTCACTATTCAGGTCAGATAATTTTCATCAAACAATTGACAAAAATTTACTTGAAAATGAAACAAATCATAATACAGAACTTGAAGATGGTACTTCAGAAAATAATGGTGATAACTCTATCATTTAATAAGTTACCATCATCTTGTTACTATAAAAAACGGTTTAGAAGAATATCTAATCCTCCTGTTAGAATGGAATTCTAAATATTCAAATTATTATTCTATTGTTCAAAAAGAGGAAGATGTGGTATATGATTGTTCGTATGGGTATAAGTAGACTTCGAATGATAGAATGAAATAGCTCTTAGTGGTTGCCAAGCAAGTTGTTGACAAGTTCTGACAAAAGAGAGATAGATAGAACACACAATAGTTTGAAAGATAAAATAATCATTTGTTTTACTACATATGTGATAACACCTAAGGAGATGTAATGAATGTCAAAACAAATAGAGATCAGAAATCAAAAGCCTACTAGAATGTTCCCTCCATCGACTCGAGCAACTTCAAGTAGAATTTAATGAAAATGTGTTTCAGTGAGAAACTATTCTACAGAAAATCAAATATTTCAAAATGATTATTTATCGCCTACTGATATTGTTATTATTGTAATGAAAACGTATTTATCCAAGAACATTATTCAGGTGTTCATTTGAGCGTGCACATATTTCCGAGGTCAGATTTTTGCAACATTGCATTCACCATTTTATGCAATTATTTATTGAAAATACTGTTATACCATAGTGTCGACCCTCATTGTCACATACGCTATGGTCACTATTTAACAAATCCATTTCAATTAATTGATTGTGAACCATTGTGATGAAATATTTTGGGCTTTAGAAGTTATTTAAAACCCCGTTTTTCTCTGTAGTACAGTAAGTTTTTTTTGAGCAAATGAATCACTCTGATGTCAGTAAATAGACACATACTATATAAACCATACGTAAATATGATAAACACAGAATAGCCCATCTTCTCAGTAGAAGAACATTTGTCAAATTTACAAATAATTAAGTTGTCAGATGATTGTATGGTTGTATTCGATTGAGAGAAGATAATTTTAAAGAGCATTTGTTTATTATGCGTATTATTTATTCCCAACGATGCAAGTAGGTATCTCTATAGCTATACAAATGACGTTATGTAGCATATTGAAGGAGAAATGAAAGGAAGTTGCGGAAAATTTCAAATGTGATATATGATTATGGTGAACAGCATCCGTATGTCCTTCAACGGTGTGTTGTTGCATTAAAGCTCTCTCAACCATGCTTCGTAAAGCAAATGAAATTATTGTTTTAAAAAATTTAGAGTTCAGTAATTCCTTCTCAGGTTTCAGATATGATGTTATTAATTATTCATTAGAAATATAAATGTGATCGTAGAGAATAAGTTTGATTTTGTTGAAAGTTGATGCCATCTAACAATTTATTCCCATATCAAAAAATTGAAATCGACTCAAATGCTAAGTCAAAGTTATCATTTATATCAATTCTTTATCATTCACAGAACTGAAGTACATTTTCTTATTCGTTTTGTTAATGAATATTTTGTTGAAATTTCATTAATAACGTCGATTTCTCCCGTGTGTTGGGCTACCTATCAGGCGCGTGTCCAGGTGGTGGATAGGGGAACGGCCTTGGGACTGGAAGCCCTGTCCGGGAAGCCAATGTGGCCTTACAGATGGGGTCGCCGGACTCCTGGTTAGTGGCAGAAATAAGTAGGGTGAGGGGAACTAAAACTCCCCAAAAGCCTTTGCAAAACATGCCACCGTGGACCAGCCTACCCAAGCTAAGGTGTAAGAAATCGTGCCGACATCGACAGCTGAATGGCCGCAGGGTGATATGCGGTTACTAACGATCCCCTTGGGGAACTGAGCGAAACCTCATTGTAATTAGCCTACCTCTGGTAATGCGGGGCTCTGCCAGAGGTGACCAACTCTTTCCTTGCTACTTGTGGGAACACACATGAATGAAATAAACACAAAAACAGAAACGACAAAAAAAACCAATCATCCACGGGATTGGTTTTTTTTTGTCGGACAGAAGTGCTCACCTCAATTTAAGGTGGTGGCTGTGGATGAACAAAAATGTCCACCCCAATCTTCCTACCCTGTGTACTCCAAACAGTCGTTATGGAATTGATTCAGATATCATTCACAAGATTGTTACACAATATCATTCTGATAAAGGCCTCAATCCTTTCATAAAATTACGACTTTACGTCACGAATGAGTTGAATCTTTCCACATTTATTTGTATGAAGATGAAGAAGTAGAAAGCCCAAACCTCTCTTTTCGGGAAAAGTAATCTCTTAAAAATATACCTCTTTCAAACTAATCTAGAATATATGGTTTTGAAAATGTAATGAAATGTTAGGTACTTTACGTAGGTGGCTATATCATTCGACTGCTAAGTTTAGTTCAGAAACTATAGACAATTTCAATTCAATGTGACACAAAAATAAAAGTATCTTCTTACTTTGGCTGCATCACATCAGCTGCCAACGATGTATGTTGAAACTCGTCCTTGGAATCCAGGAATGGATACCCGTTCAGAGCGATGTGGGCGTCATAGATGCCTTGCCTACCCAAAGCGTCGCCTACCCATTTGCTGGCCATCGCAGCGGCCATCAGCGGCACGATGTACCTTACTCCCCCTGTCAGTTCGAACATGATGACCACGAGTGACACGGTCATCCTGGTGACGCCACCGAGTACCGCGGCAGCTCCGACCATCGCGTACAACCCGGGAGTGATGCAGTCGTCTCCCGTGGAACATTCCCCGCTGAACAGCCATATCTTGGGGTAGGTGTAAGCTAGCTGCTCCATTCCGATGCCTACTATGCGACCGACGATAGCTCCTAGGCAGAGCGAGGGGATGAAAAGACCGCAGGGCACCTTCATGCCGAAAGTGAAGACGGTCATGATGAGTTTGAGGATGAGGGCGAGGATGAGAAGCCAGACGGCGCGGTAGACGCCTGGACCGGCGGCAGCGATTTCGATGGCTGAGTTTACGTTTGTGAAGTTGCGGTTGTAGTCGCTGAAAGAGAAAAAATAAGTACAGTATGGGAAATGAATATTTAATAAGCATCAACAACTTGTGTATCTGAAACGAGTCGGCAAAGTAATGAGAACGTAACGACGTAGCTACTGCTCCGAACAACCTAACATTTCAATAAATAATTGCTTTTATTTTTAATCTCGTAATACGTTATATTTCACATTCCATATTTCAACTATGTAGTTTAGAGTCACGAGATATGTGCGATTGTCGGTAAAGTGTCAGAACCGTGTCCGAACTGTTATGAAGCGAAGCATTACATTTTTGAGGTTTGAATGAATATGTGTTCAATTCAGGAAAGTTTTATTGACAGAAAATTTACCACAGGTGAGGTTATTCAGGTTATGGAATATTTCAATCAATGAAAAGGACTGCCATTTCATTGATTTACCAGCTGTCGAAGTCGAAACTTGTACGGCATAAGAGTTAACAAGGTCTTGGAAAATATTTCGATTTCATTTCTTCTTTTTTATTTTTGATTCTTTGATAGTATCAAAAAATCCCCAATAACTGCTGCAGGCAACCAGTGATGTAATTGAACCCAGGTTTGTGTTTAATAAACCCTACAAAATACAACAGAACACAGAGACAGATGGTACAAATGCAATACGCATATATACAGACGGTTCAAAACCCAAAGAAGGCTCAGGATGTCGAGTGTACTCCGGATCACTAAGCCTAAGGATCAAGTCGGGAACGGAAAAAATATCAGCGTGGTTCTAAAAGAACTGGCTGGTATCTCAATCGCCACAAAAGAAATAACCAGGAAAGGAATTTCTAGAAAAACCATAACAATCTGCACTGTTAGCAGACTAGCCCTATTAGCCTTGAAAAGACGTGTTACCTCAGGGCTAGTACTAGAGTGCCACCAAGATTTAGCCAAAGCCTCGATAGATAACATCATAACATCATCCTGAGGTGGATTAAAGGGCACGACAGGAGTAAAGGTAATCGCATTGCCGACTCTTTAGCCAAGGAAACGTCTGGACTAAGAATTTTAGGACTCAGTGGCATCTACGGCCTAGTGACTTCGACAACTGCGGAACTAGCCAAACGTCACACCCATGCTCAATTCCTAAAGAAATGGGATGAAATCAAAGGATGAAATCTTGCCAGGATCACCTTGAGCGAAGTGGGAAGCTGGCGCTGAAGAAATATCTGGCGATTACCAGGAAAAATGTACCCTCAACAGTAGGACTGACTGGCCATTGTCAACTAAGGAAACACCTCAACAATATGGGGCTAGTGGACACACCTCTATGCAGGATGTATGAACAGGAAGATGAAAGTGTCAGGCTATGCGAATGTCCGGAGTCATCGTCAATAAGAGAGTGGGTGTTCTGCTGATATAAAGAGGATGTCTCTGAGAGACCTGTCCACCTTCCTGAAAAGGACAGGATGGACGATGACCTAGGAGGACAACTCCTCGGGAGGATGTACAATCGGTCACATGTGGCCTAAGTGCTGTGGGCCTACACTCACCCTCCCTACTCTACAGATCCCCAATAACTGTTGGAACAATTTTTATCGACTAGTAAATGGTTAGTAAAGTCTATTGAGAAAAAATACGTGGAGTTGAAAAATAACCATTTCCTTAATGACCAGGGCATTCAAATATTACAATTGGAATGAATGACTCACCACAAATCACCTGCGTTGGAAATGCCACACTGACTGAACAACAAATAAATGAGCTGGCTGGTATTCATTCTGGTGTACGGATTTGGATAGGCTATGATGGCTGTCATCACTGTCACTACGAGAACTTCCGTCACTGGGTATTGACCCAGTTTGGAGTATTTTCTGTATCTACACCAGTAGAGATTTGCTTTTATGAATATTGTTGCTATCACACCCTAGGAAGACAAAAAATTGTTAGCAATTCAATATGAATGACCCCGCATCTGGTTATTCTTTGAGTTCATGGGTACAAGATTCTGTAATGAGCGGTATATACCACGATACAGTAGAATACATATTCATTGATATATGGAGCTACAGAAACACATGACATTGAAACGTACAAAACTTTTTGAAACAACCTAATATTTTACTCACCAGTTAAATAAGAATATTGAGGTTCAACATTTGCAAATACTAAAAATATGTTCGAAAGTCAGAAAAACTACAGGCTATTAATAATAAGAAATACTACGTGGATAATTGTGAGTTTGAAATTATGGACATTGAAGAGCAGTATAGAGATTTTCATAGAAAAGCACTGAATATTTTTGATGAACTTGCTCAGAAAAGATACTTGAGAGTACAGTGGAATAATAAAACTACTGAGGCCATGAGTAGAAAAATGCCGAAGTGTAGAGAATTTGTGATCAGAATTTGTGAAATATGTGAACAAGATAATATAAATGATCAGTAGTCAGTCAGACTGTATGGTTACGGAACTGTTTTTCATGTGTCCAAGCTCGTTTGTCACTACTCTAATAGCATAACAGCCCGATGCTAGTCTTTTTTTCAAGGACGTTATATGTTCCTCAAACCCTAACTTTCTGTCAATGTGTATACCCAGGAATTTAGTGCTCGTTTTATTTTCTACTTGATGTGTTCCTAAGACCAAGTTTTCGAATTCAAAAAAAAATAAATAAAATAGAATGAGTATATATTTTCATAATGACTAATAGTATTGAAAAATAATTAACACTGAACCAATATAATATGTTGATAGCTTTCCAAAATATCTGAAAATAGTAGATAACCAAATGCCCTCTAACCTCATCAATACTGAGCTGGAAGAACATTTTCCGTGATGTATTGTATAACGGATGATGAACTTCCCCCTTTATTTCAATTGCTAGTTTGAATATATATAAGTTATGTGAGTTTTTGTTTTGTTTATGAAATAATAAAGGCGATATCATTATTACTATTATTATTTTTCTGAGTCATTCTTTACCTCAAGTACAAAAAATTTCACCTGTATATGTTCTAATCGTGTCTTAGGAAATTCGATCAAAGGGTGATTGGCACATCTTAATTTAGCGACTTTCGCCGCACCACCTACTAGTCATCATATATTGGATATGTGGCACATTCTGTCTCACCAACTTTATCATAACCTACATCTTGTTATTCGCCATTCAAGTTTCCAAAACGTAGAGGTTGAATTCCACCTTCCCGACCAAGAAAGTGCTTGTACACTGTGGTGTTAATTTGGCAAATGTTAGCCTCCTCTATAAGTACATCATGAAACCTCTGCATTCACTTATTAGAACGTCCTACGTGTTCTAATTGGCTCCATCAGAAGCCTGATGCGAGTATCCTTTTCAGCCAAGACAACCGGAGGTAGTAGTTAGGACTACCACTTCTATCACTTCGTCAGCAGGTCGAGGAGTAGCCGACCAAGATAGGAAACTTGATCCTTCAGATTTTGGATGGAAGAGGCGACATGCTTCGGTAGTATTTCACCAGACCATTTCTCAGTTCGTTTTTCACTCAAAATCGTCCGGTGTCATTGCGATCTTCAACAATAGCGGACAAATATAATCGGTTTAGGCCTCACTGCCTTGCCTCTGACTCAATCGAATGAATCGGTTATGGAGACAGAGTATAGCTTTCCCTTCTGGGCATATCTGGGCTCGGGTAAGTGGCCAAAGGCCTCAGATATTGAACGGCCATTCCTGCTTATTTATTATCATTGTTATCCTGCTTTGTTAACTATTTTGAAAGAAATTTGTCATGCAAAAATGTTTTTGAACTTACCCCAATAATTCCCAATCCAATAAATGGGATCAGCTCGAAAAATATCCATGGTTTGTTATATTCCACGTAGAAGAGAACAGAATGTTCATTACCAAATGGATTAATTGATCTCAAAACGAATGCCGCGATCAAGGCGCAGAAAAATGAGCGCCATAGAGTTTTCAGAGGAAAGTAGTAGCTGACCTGTAAAAAAATACTATTTGTTGAAACTAACAACATTCATAAATCTTCATGAAACGAAAAAGGTCCACCTTTACTTGATTTATATTCTATTTCCGGTAGATTTTATGTTCACATTCAAAGAGTTTCACTTCATGGTAACCTAACTGTCTACATAACTTTCCCCCTGACTTATAAGGTTATAAAAAATACATTAAAAATGGTAAGTACTTCAAAAGTATTATTGAAAATATATTTTATTTTTGAGAAAGTGGTTATTTTCAGCAAACAAAGCAGTTCAATACATGACATAATTAGCATGTTTCCAATGGAGTGTTTAGGATACTCACCTCCTCTAAACTGAAGAGTACTCCTCCAATGGGTGCGCCAAAAGCAACAGACACCCCAGCTGCCGCCGAAGCTGATAGAATCTCCCTCTTCTTTGCTTCATTCCTCCCGTACTTGGGAAATAGATATGATAAAATATTACCTACAATGGTTAACACGGTAATCTTTCAATAGAATTAGTTATTTTAGAATATACAGTTTAGTTAGAATGTTAGAACATCGTATCAAAATATATGACGTTCTTTCAATATAATTACAAAATACTCCTTTTTCTACTAGCAATGCATTATTTTCACTCGCTATCGTCGAACCCGTGTTAGGAATCACACGTTAAAAGGTAAAACCTCGTTAGTCCTTAGCTCGCACAAGTTTAGACTTCTGAGGGTTATCGTTTGTAGGGGTGCGATAGCTGCTTAATGAAAAAACATATTTTAAACATATTTTTAAACACAACATAAAGCAGGCAGCTTTTACCTTCATTACCGTTTCTTTGTTGAATTAGCCGCCTTTTTGAAAGGAACTTCACTTTCTGGATGGCTAGGTGAATAAATTTCTTCTCATGTCACTCACAACTAAATGTCACATCATCATTTTTTATTATTTTGACAGTATCGATTTTTAGGATCATTAGCAGCTTCGAGTCAAAATAGTGATGATTGATATTACACATAAACGGGGTGGTAAAACAATTTTTGTATGTTGCAGACCATTGAGTGGTGCGGTTTTTTCCTGTATCGTTACATTAGAAATTCTCATTTTAATTTTTGTAGTAATAACAAAGAAAAGATAGCGTAAAATATTCAGGGATAACTGGCCTTTAAAATACTTGCTGTGCCATTGGACTGCCGAATTCGCGCGCTTTAAAGGCTTTACTTTAATATACTATTTCCAATTCCATATGTCGTATTTTCTTAACTAATGCTCGTTTTTCATAAATAACAAATCGAGGAAGTTCATGCACAAAAAACGATTATTAGAATGATCTAACAGATGATCAAGTACATGAGGGATCCCAGAATAATATGTTGATGAGTTCAAACAAACTATTTCTGATTTGATGGTTTCTCTTCGCCGAGCGTTCTTTTCGTGCTTGTCAATACGAATGATCTCTTGGTTTCTCCATGTAGGACTTGCTGCATTCATATGATACCCGATAAACGTAATTCTTGGTGGTTAATGTTATACTTAGATCCAATTCTTTTGATACCTTCCGACTGTCATTTTACGTAAAACAGGAATATAACTGGCTGTAATTACTTTTCATTTTCGCTGAGATCTTGTCGTTTACTGGAAAATGTGTGTTCTATCTTTTGGTTTGGAGATCCTTTTTGTTATGGCCAGGATCTTTGTCTAGAGTTTCCTTCATGTTGCAGACTGAATGTTCGATTCATTATGGTCTTGGATTTGTAAATCAGGCACTCTTCCATGTGACAAGGTTTTCTGCAAACAATGTTTTCCACTTGTTGTTAGCCGTCTTACCATCACGTTTAGATCTGGCAATTCATATTGGGATTCCTTGTCCAATGTACTTTTTATTATTATTATTACTGATTATTTTCATTTCTTGTAAGTCACTGACATTTTAATTTTTTTTATATTTTTTTCTGTAGCATATTTTTAAATATCTCCATTCCAGGTTACGAAAATGCAGTCTCGTCACAAATTACCGTTCTTAATAATTTTTAATGTCTCATTCAATTGTCATCTTTCAGATTTGAAACCTGCTGACTTTGTAAGTCAATGAAAATCAGAACCTCAAACATTCGGCAACATTTATGTTTCGTCAATATCGTAGGAGTGATGGAAATACTTCAATGTAGCTGTATGGTAATGTCATATCGGTGTAGATTAATACCAAATTCATAATGGTATAAAGATCCTGCTAGTTTCACGATAAACTTTACTGAAGATAGCATCTCTGCTGACAATGATGAATTCTTGAATCTCCGATTGAATGGTGTGTGAACATATATTTTTTCAAGTCAATGAACAACGTGTATGTCACTAGTTAAATATTGGATCTGACCAAGAATTTGATTATTTTTCAAGAAGAGCTCACAAAAACAAATTGTTACAATCGAAGTAGTGTGAAATGATTGACTAAGTGCTATTTGAACATGAACTGATGAAATTTTCAATCAAATAAATAAACCAAACCGAATTCATGACCAAGAGAATATTTTCCACAGCTTTACAAACAACACTCCAATTTCAGGTTTTCAAGGTTGATTTAAAATAGTTCAATCAATAAGAAGCATTAACTATTTTTATTTTTTACACCCGTTTGGATGAAATGTTTAGGGTTTTGCCCAGAATTGATTTGAAAAGGATTTCTTTTGTAAAACTATTCGAATAGAGTATAAAACTTTATACCACAATACATCACATACCAACATTCTAAAGGGAAGCGGACTATATAATTAATTTGATGAACGTTCACGTTTATAAGAGACACTCCTATGTGGAAATGATGTGAACTGGTCGATTATTGTATTATTAATGGTTTGTTGTCGATCCATTAGGACTTACCTATTGCACACGCAATGTGTACCATGGGACCTTCTTTACCCAAACTTAGTCCTGCCGATACTGACAGTATGAGACCGACAGATTTTATTATCAGCGTCCATTTGCCCAGGTACCCTCTGATTATGAAGCCACTAAGAATAGTTTTTATCTGAAAAAAAGTAGGAATACCATTTAAAGTTGTTATTTTGAACTTGTGGATTGGGTGAAGGTACAATTTAAAGACATGACATTACAACGCTAAGGGCTCATTCACACTTGCATACTCAGCACTATTTGTCATTGCCGCTGACAAACTATTTAGTAGAATCGAAGTATTCTCACAGATGTCATTAACGGTTCTCTTCAGTGTAGAGTCCAGTGCTTAAAACTTGGGCTGCTGGTGTTTTTGCTGGACTGTAGTGGAGTTCGTTCATGTGCCACTTATCAATTTTGAACATTAAACTTGAATTAGAAGAATAGAAAGTGACGGTAATTTGAAAAACAGGTTCCGAAAGTTAATATTTAGGTGACGAGCTGTAGTAGACTTACCTCAGGAATACCAGATCCGCAGGCATACGGGGCAAACATACGCACCAAGGATGCAGAAAGTGCGGCAAAGAGTAACGCCCACACTATGTAAAATAAATAAGAGATTATGTATGATCCGGCCCCCACTCGACTCTGGCCCAAAATTTCGGCCCAGGTTGACCACTGTACCATCTTATTTTATTATTTAGATTTTTTCCGCTTAAGTGCGTTCCATAGACGGATGTTACACGCTCAGTTTGGCATCAGTTCAGTCCATGACCTTGATCACGAATGAACTGATGACATGAGCGACATTACTCACCCGTCATAATGATGAATAATAAAAGTAATGTCGTTCATGGGTCAATCAGTTTGTCATCAGTTCATTCGTGATCAAGGTCATGGACTGACCTGATGCCAAACTGAGCGTGTAGCACGCGTCATATAATGGGAATGCATGAAAGAACATGGTCCCCAATCATTAGGAGTCCGCCATATTAGATTTAGATAAATGTAATTTTATTTCTCGTATTCTTTTCAGTAAACACTTTCATTTGATACCTATACTATGAGAGGTAATAAAAATGACTTTCTTACCCAATCATGCAATGTCATCCAAAGTAAACGTATGTGCAAAATTCAGTTTCCAGAATTTTCCGAACTGACATGCATACAAAGCAACCGAAATAAAATCTTGTGAAAATAATGAAGTCTTTGGCTTTATTCTAATGACATTTTATTTGTCATGTGGCTTCTCGAGAGTCCACGGGGCCAGAAGCTCACCTTTTCTGAAGGTTTATCCATCTGGAAACCAGTAGTATACGATGCATTTTGTTAGTCTCGTATGGTGTGCCTTTTTGGTGGCTGTATATAACCATTTCACGATTCATGGAGGTCATACTAAGCTGGCTTCAAATTTTTGGCGATGAGGCATTGGTAACCATCTACAGAATGGTAGTTTTTGGTTTCAGACCTCAAGTCTTTCCGAAATACTTTACCGTTATAGCTTCGGAGAGAACGATACAATTGCTCCAAGTCACTAATTGGAACCAGCTCTGGTGTAAGAATTGACATTTATTTATTTTCTCTCAGTCCTGGGACCTAATTTTCGAGTCATGTGAATATTTTTATACTGGTAAGAGACGCTAAAATGACTTAATTTGACATTATATGCCATATGTTGATCATTAAGGATAGTTGAATATGACTCTTTCTTTTTGTTGGGTGTCATTGGCATGGACTACATTGGTCATTAACCTCGTGCCCTGGAAAGGCAATGTTAATAAATCCTCAAGCCACCTAGGGAGCATCATGGATATTCGCAGTCCGTCAGTCAAGTAACGTTGCAGAATCATTCCAGCTTCAACTAGATAAAGTCCCACTACCACTGCGCCAAATTACCGCTGACGTCATTTCTTATTGACTCCCATAACTCTAGAATTAGGCCTCTGATGTATTGAGGCTAGGGACATTTGCAAGTGTTTCAAGATTACCTCATCATTCTTTACTTTAATGATGATGATAGAGATTGCAAAAGAGGTGATAATACCCCATATGTGACAACCTTTGAAGATATGATATTAGTTCCTGCAGATATCATTGAAACAACTAATAGTTAGTCTCTAGAAGCTATAATATCTTGGGTTTTCAGATATTCGTCACGTGCAAAAAAGTTCATGAACTTTGAGGTGGAACAGCCTTTTGGTCACCATAATTCATAATAACCAAGACATTTGAAATTTAACGTTTATGTTCCTTTAAGGACTCTTATTATGTAGAGAGTACCTACATATTTTCANACCATAATTCATAATAACCAAGACATTTGAAATTTAACGTTTATGTTCCTTTAAGGACTCTTATTCTGTAGTGAGTACCTACATATTTTTAATTCCTAATAGTTCTAGTTCAACTATTTCGTATAGATTTTACGACAGTTTCATAGATCCAAGCAAAACTGATTTTTTTTTGTAGAATGACGAAAACTGCATAAAACTCCAATGGAAAAACATGACGATCAAAGAAAAGTAGTGGAAAACAAACTTGTTTCATACTATATCAGGTGAGTCTAACTGAAGAACTGCATGAAAATGTAATCTCCATTTTGATTGTTAATAAACTAGTTTATAGTGGTTTTAAAACGGATATCACGCAAAGCATTGAATTATGGTCGAATTCTTTTGACACATTTTATAACTAGACACGATGAAACTTTTTCTACCTGTGAGCAATTTCCAGCTTCGAAACTTGTCTCGTTAGACGACCAACAGCACTGTTCTTGGTTTAACCAAAACGCTTGAGGGCAAAGACCAAATTTCAGATCTGTCATCCAACTGGCCCCGATGTCGATGACACCTGCAACAGTGCCTGTGAATAGTCCCACCAACAGAACACACAGCCATCCTGACCAAGCATCGTGGGCCCCTTCGATCAAATTCCAAAGGGAATCCTGTTTCTTTTTGACGATGTACCTACGAAAAAAATATTTCAGTATATTATCGTCATTTTGTTTGATTTTCGAGGCTAAGTTGGTCCTTTCAATCTGTTTCTATTTCTATGAATGATAATTTTATAATATTTTCGACTAATTTGTCTTGATGAGCAAACTGTCCAAGATCAGAGTCTTTGCGGGCCCTGCCGGATTTTTGAGGTCACGTTTAACTTCTGAATATAAATTTAAAATTACCTGTGTCGCATGCGGTCTCTGGCAATATCCCGCTGCCAATCGATAGTATGAAAATCTTCATACTGTCCAATACCAGGAATGTCTGCTGATTCTGCAATAAAGATGACTCATGTCGGCATCTATGTAACAGCATTGGCATTTTAATTCAAATTTCGTAATATACTCACCATGTGTTCCCGAATAAGATACAGAATCTGAAATAATGTAAACGAATATTATTTTCAGATGAACTTTTGTGACTTCAGATTTGAATTTTATGAGGTGTGTTCAAAAAATAAGGTAAATGTTGATTTTTATCAAAAAAAAATTCATTCATCAATATATATTTTGATCCCTTCAAAGTATTCTCCCTCAGATATAATACACTTATGACAGCGTTCTTTCCAATCCTCGAAGCAATTTTGATATGCACTTTCTTTCAGCGATTCGCTTTTTATCTCTTCAATCATCCCAAAACGTCGCGTCGTCCTTTCACGTGTCTCGGCAACCTTTGGAAAAGGAAAAAGGCGCTGCAGGCCAAATCTGGTGGATATGGTGGCTGAGGCATAATTACAGTGTTGTTTTTCGCCAAAAAATTACAAACAAGTAATGTCAAGCAGGAGCATTATTGTGATGCAAAAGACATGAATTGTTTTCCAAATAACGGATGTTTTCTTCGTATTGCTTCTCGCAAGCGTCGTATAACTTCAAAATAATGCTCCTTATTGACTGTACTATCATGTGGCAAGAACTCCTGATGCACCACGCCCGTGGTTCTCAAACTGTGGTACGCGTACCCCTTGGGGGCACGCGAAAGTTTTTAGGGGGTACGCAGGACCAACAAAATGAAACAAACCTTAAAATTTAAATTTTGTTAGATTCTTTTTTTTTTTTCTTAAAACCAGCTCGAGTGGAAAAACTGTTTGTCAGTGTGTATAGATGGTGCAAAAGCTATGAGCGGTCACATCACAGGGCTGGTAGGCCACATTAAAACGGTTTCAACTGACTGTAAGTTCACTCATTGTGTCCTTCACCGAGAGGCTTTGGCGACTAAGCACCTCCCTGAGGAACTTCAAGAGGCCCTTGATCAGAGTGTAAAAGTTGTGAATTTCATCAAAACTAGGCTAGTTACACGTGTTAAAACTATACAAAATAAAAGGATCATTTTCCGACATATAGGTATTTTAGTTATTTTACTAACTGTGAAGGGGTATACCCGGATTTTTTTTTGTAAAAAGGGGTACGGTGTCTGAAAAAGTTTGAGAACCCCTGCACTACGCCATGGTAATCGAAGAAAACAGTGAGCAAAAACTTGACATTTGATTGAACTTGGCCTTCTTTTTTTTGTCTTGGCTATTCTGGGTTCTTCTATTGGGACGATTGAACTTTGGTATTGATGTCAACCATATATTTGTTTTGTTTCATTCCCTGTCTACTTATAGTTTGGCTGCTATTCTTCCCTACCACCGAATTTCCAACCGGAGATAGGGGAGAAAAGGAACATAAAATTTTCAATACATTTCTTCCTCACTTAAGTATTTCCGCTTTTACCATGGGCGTCTGAGTTAATCAACCAAATATTCAATTCAAAAGTAGAGCAAACATTTGTTGAATGGGGTAATAAAGGAGCCTAAATTTATTGCAAGTGAAGGATTTCGATGTGGTACTGCTAACTTAATGGTCAAACTAGCAGAACCCACGGTTTTTTTAACAAATAGAAAATCAGCGATAGGGAGGGAATATGAGACTAAAATGAGACCAAAAATTATGGCGTAGTTTGATACAACAAAATGTTTTTATTCTGTAGTTTAATTCTGCCAGATTAACGTTGAGCTAGCACGATATCCTAAAATTAACCTACACTTATAACCTGGCTTGCTAGCTCAACAGGGTTAAATGCATTTTTAATTTATGATTAGAAAATGAATACTGTTGGTACTAATAAAACTCGCTATCTCTCATTACACGTGAAGACAATCTTCATAGTAAATTTTCCGAATTGGTATTAGCATGAGAACAATCGGAATTTCGATGTCTGATATAAAATATACGTGAAAAGATTTTGTTTGCATTAGTGAGCCATGTGAGTTGTTTACTGTTGACTCAATGGTGCGATATGTCGAAACATGTCATTATACTCATTATTTGGTACCCTGTTTGCGTAGGATTTTTTGATACGCATTATTTGAATGCGGAATGATTCTGATTTTGAGCACTTCGAAAACACTAAATTGTGATAATTTAGAAACACCATGATTTCTTTAAACTGTGAACATCTTAAAAAGGAAACATTTTCAGGAGAGATTATTTATTCTGGAAAAAACTTCCCGGGAGAATAATTGTGATTTGATTCGTATATAACTCAAAACGGGATAATGTTTGACCATCTGCTTTGATGTGGGAAGTAGAAACCCAAAACTTCGAAAAGTAGTTTTTTCGTGTTGATAATATTACTAATTTAAAAACATCAGACAAATTAGATACATATTTAAAAAAATAAACAACATTGCAAACAATCATATGTATTATATGAATTTGCACACATTTTAACCTATAAAACTTGGTAACTTCCTTGAATATTTCCACACAGTTAATGAATTTTGATGAAATATCTAAGTTATGGATAAATTCCTCACGATAATATTCTGCGGAGAACGACACAAACAGTATCAAAGGTCGAGTTTATCTGGTTTTGATGCTGAAATTATTATTTTCTGATTGATTCGGCCGTTACTTGATGAAGAGCCATAGTAATTTCATGAACTACACCTTACGATTTTATCGTGTAGTGTAGTTCATGAAGAAAATGAAATTATCAATTCGGATATTTATAAATATCGACAATTCATAGCTTTGTCATCCTCATGAAAAGTCGTCATGAAACCAAACTACAGATTACCAATTGAAAAACTCACAGTGAGATATGCCATCATCCTCCTCTCCCAATCTAGTGGTCCGTTGTTCTTCTGCGGCCCCGAGACCGGATGTGTGGATGTCAATCATGGCTTCATCTGGAGACGCCACAAAGATTGCTCTCTTGTTGCCGTTTGCGTACTGTACACAAGATAAATATCACATATTAGAATGATGTAAACGTTAGTTGTCTTTATATTTGTTTACTGGGGGTGGATTAAACAACGTATATCGACTAGAATTACACTGTATACAGAAACAAACGAAGATCGACTCAGCATGCGCGGCATCCTCCGATCGATACCCGTTATCGGGCCGTAAAAGGTTTATGTCAAGAAGTTTTGTATGGTAGTTTATTTGTTGGGTTGTACCTACAATATCTACTCGATGAGTTAGTTTTCTTCTCAGCGCTTTAGCGAAATTTGCCGTTTTGTTTTTTCATTCATCACATTCCTCTGTATAATTTTATTTCATTCATTATTTTAAATTATATGGACCTTCAATTCCTGAAAAATAAATCAACAGAAATTTCTTATTCTCTTTTTCTTTTTTGAAATGAATAGTTTAAAATATTTTTTGTGAGTAAAAGTTTGAAAAAATACAAACATTTTTTATTTCTACTCTAAGATGTGAATAACATGACAAATTAATAATAAATTGATGGATGTAGCCGTTACGGCTTGGCTACGGGGATCGGCGGTGCGAACGACGAAGCGGGGAGCGAGGCGACCATTCGCGCGACACCGTTTGCAGGCCACGGGCAGTCACGTTCGCCGTCGCGACCAATAGTCCGACAGCGAAATGTCTTTATCGAAATTATCTCGATATTGCTTAGAAAGTAATAATTTTTTGGTTCAAGACCTAATATTTGGAAGAGATTGTGAGTACATGATTTGAAAAAGAGTCGGGTATTGTCTCGATATTCATTTTTCGCGGCGAAAACAACTAAACTCGTTTGATCACTGCACTATTCGCCGCGACTACCGCGACTACTCCGTGGCTCGCGCTGTACAGATTCATGCATTTGTTTTGCTCGCCGGTCGCGCCGCAAGTCGCCCACGCGATTCGCTTGGTACATTTCGCCGCTCGCTTCGCGGGTCGCCGTTGCGAATGGCTTTATAAGTACATTCATATGCGTTTGTTTCAGTCGCTAGACGCTTCACCGTTCGCACCGCGCGAATATTCGCATCGGCGAGTGTCCCGTGGCCAGGCTGTTACTACGTGGTAGGAGATCGTAATGAAAAGAGAAATGAAATTTCTATGTTTTTTACCACTTTTATACAATAAAACTTATACAAACTTATACAATGAAATTGTATAAGTTTGAGAATGTCCATATAGGACGAAACTGCAGTAACGTTAGTTACAAATAAAAGTGGTAAAACATAAAAATTTTCATTTTTCTTTTCAAAAAATTAATAATGAAAGGTTTTGATTTAGACTCCTCAGTGGCGGCGCAAGACCAAAATTTAATGTGGGCAAGGTATATTACGCGAGGCCCTCTGATGTCGCAAGAAGAAGGGTTTATGAAATTAAAGAAACATTTGAAATTGGTCAATTTTCTATTCATTAAAAAAACACTTTCCAGAATTTTCACTCATGTACTTTTTTGGGACATTGAACAAAATTAAAAAACAAAACCTGACTCAAATGAAAAATAAAAATATGTCTGGGTCGCCGTATCGAAACCCCAGTCAAAGTAGCTAACGCGGCAGCTATTTTCTCATTGAGATCTTCAAAATGAGCCCAAACACGTCACGTCTGCTATAAGTTGCCAAGAAGTTAGTCTTTTGCAGACTGTTCTGGTTGCAGCATCAAGTCGAAGTAAAAATGTTATTGTACATACTCTTGAAAATGTCGAATTTTATCTCGATCACTCAAGTGGATGTACCTATGGTTAACTATAATTTCTCTTTATAATCTTGGAAACAAGCTTCTAAACGACTGTTGTCATTTTCATAAAACATATCTAAGAACCATCCTGATAAACTTAAGTATTGAATAAAAAACTGCATCAAAATCAACCTACTAGTATAGGAGCTACAGTTCTACAGACAGACATACAGGTATAATTCAAACTCATAACATCCCTCTTTTACGTCGAGAGTTGAAAATAAAAAAAAGAATAAATTAAGGAAACAAACATTTTTCTACTTTTGGTTTTACTGAACTTTCTAATTATCGGTTAGTAATTTATCGCCTTACGCCGCCTCTGAGACTCCTTCGCCACATTAATGACGTACCATAGGGTCTTCCAACAGGGACTTCCGAAATTTAACAATTGATAACGGCCACCTTGTTTAAGCTAAAATTAGTTGTCATTTATTCAGTCTGTTTTGCCAAATCACCATGGACAGATATAGTATTCAACAACACGTACATATAATAAAATTGTTTTATTGAACAGGTGTTCCGTTCAGACAACGTACGCGCGCTTCGCCCATTTTACGGTTGTCATAATCGTTCTACTGGGAGGAATATTCGCAACGTGGTGGATAAATTTGAGTCCACTGGTTCAGTAAACAATCGACCAACACCCGTACGTTGACGAAACGCAAGATCTGCTAAAAACATCGCTACTGTCTGTGAGAGTGTACAGGAGAATCCAAAGCAGTTGATTTCGCGTCGCTTAAAAAAACTCGGCCTTCCGAAGGCCACAACTTGGCGAATTTTGCGTCGTAACTTGGGCCTGTACCCGAACAAAATTCAAGTGACCCAGGAACTGAAGATAAACGACCATAGACAACGACGTGTGTTCACTGTTGGAAACTGACCCAAATTTTCATCGAAAAATCATCTTCAGCGATGAGGCCCATTTCTGGATAAATGAGTACGTGAACAAACAAAATTGTCGAATTTGGGACGATACTAATCCACATGAGATCCAAGAGCATCCGATGAAAAAGTCACTGATTGGTGTGGATTTTGGGCTGGCGGCGTCATCGGTTCATATTTATTTGAGAACGACGTTGGCCAGGCCATCACTGTCAACGGCGAGTACTATAGGTCGATGATAACTAACTTCTTTTGGCCTGAATTGGAGAATGTGCATGGTCATCTCACGTGAAAGTGATGTGAACTGGCCACCAAGATCGTGCGATTTGACCCCGTTAGACTTTATCGTGTGGAGTTTTCTCAAGTCGCAGGTGCGTGCGAATAAGCCGCAAACCACAGCGGTCCTCAAAGTTAACATAACCGATGTCATCGGTCAAAGTCAGCCTGATGTATGCGCCAGTCATTAAAAATTGGACGTTTGATCGATGTTCAAATGTACGCCGATGTTCAAATGTTCGCGATGAATTGTGACTAGTTCGTATAGATATTATCAACACTATCCCTACTAAGTTTGTTTGTTACGGTTTCACGCGAAAACTACTCAACCGATCATCATGAAATTTTGTACACATGTTCTTGAAGGTATTAGAAGTAACATAAATACTTTTTATTGAAAAAATATAATTTTTTATGTAAGATATAAAAACTGTTTGTCAAAAAAATCTCAAAATCCAGCTACTTTAACGTCGTATAGTTCTCATATTGATTCATTTCTATTATACTGACATTTATTTAATGGCATAAATGCGAGTGAAGCCGCGGATAAAAGCTAGTAACTTATATGTGCATATGATATTCTCACTTTAATTTGAACTGGTTTGTAATTAGATCAAATATAATTTTGATTTGACAAAGAGAAATCTAGTACATATAATACCTTTTACTTCTAAAAACTAAGATTTTGATAATAATATGTTATCAGTAATATCCACCAAGTCTACTGACCTCCTTGCCTAAGTTTATTTCTGAAGAAATCATTAAATTACATTCTCGATTATGATCATGTGCTGTAGATATTTTATATAACGTAGAAATGAAATTCATCTGTATTTTGAACGTAGATTCATCACCATCATTATTTTCATTGATCTTTACTTAGTGACCTATCCATCTCATTTCAAAATAATTTAGGACAAATTACGATCTATAACTAAGTGACTTTTGGAGTACCTACTTCTACCTACGTTAGAATAGAATAGAACACCTCAGCAAATATGTTAAATTTTTAGGAAGTTAGATTTAGCTTGAACTTTCGTCGTCACTGGGTGGAAAGAAGAAATGATGTGAAATTGACTGGCTGACCATGTCATCTATTTATATCATGTGAATATATTAAAGAAGAAAGTGATAAAAATCATGAAATTATGAAAAAACAACAAAAATTGATTGGTGCTCCGGGGCGAATTCATTGATTCCAATGGCTCATTTGCTTTTCCAGCTGCAGGAAAACCCGGAAAAACCTGCAGCACCACATCATCAAAGATCTTGATCTGCCAATGTCCTCTCTCTCTCTCTCATAAAACAAAATGTAGGGTGTCCCCAGAGACTCTAATAAATTCAAGACATCGCCAGAACACTTAGTGACACGACTATCGTCAATCTTACGTCCGTTACGTCTTTGACCATTGCGTAATAATGACCTGCAGATTCAACGCCAGAACCATAGTGAACAATGACTGCATGAAAATTATAACAGTGGTCTGTTAGATCGAACCTTCGTAAGAGTTTGGTGCTTCCGTCAGAGGTTGAGACATGTTTGAAGATCATCAGTGGTATTATTAGATTGACTGGTGCCTCAGCTATACTTGTTTTCTTATAATAGTCAGTTAGTTTGGCGCATGTTTGGCAATACAGTTGAGTATCACCAGTTGAAAGTTTCAGATGATTAAACAATAAGCTTTGCACGGACTGGTTATCAATAAAATTTATGTAATTATGATAATACTTATCTTAATAACAGTTTGGAAAAACAGATTCATCTCGTCATCAGAATCGACAAAAATAAATCCATGGAAAAAACACTGATTCTTTCAAGTCTTCGTCTCAGTAATTGAAATTTCTGGTAACTGCGTCAAAAAACGTATTATGTCAAAGTTATCACATTTCATATTTCACTTCTACAGAGGTATTCCCTAGTATCGATACATTTGTGAAGCTATATATCAGACTAGTGGTTAGCAGCCTAAAAAGTAAGATCGGTGGTTGTCATTTTATTTTCAAACATGTAATCTCGATGTTGATTTTTTTGTCACTTTCAATGGTCTTACCAATAATGTTTTGCACAACGGTTCCAAATTCTATTGAAA